TAAAGTTTTGTGTCTACATCACAAAAGAGCGTGACCTGTTGTTTATGTATGTATGTATTTATGTATTTATTGTTTATCCCACCATATTGGAGGTCAAACTATTTATCTGGACCAACGTGTAGTATTTGTGTGTGATAAAATAAGCAGGACACCCTGTGCGGTCTTCACTTTCGGCGGCACGGAATCCCCCCCCTCAATTTCCACCGCCCGGGATAGCTACAGCTCTGATTTTGACTCCCATTCTACTTACCCTGGCTGTTATCAGGAACATATGTGATGGCTTGGTAATCAACAAAGATCTCACGCATCCTACAACAACATATTTATAAGCCTCTAACCCCTTGTAACTTTTCAGTTCTTGGTTGGTGTAGGACGATGTCGAATGAATTAAGTGGTTATAAATATCTGGATATTGGAGGTTGGGCACAGAGCGAGCGCTGATTAGACTGACAAAGAGGTCCGTCGGAATTAAACCGGGATCTATTCCACAACCCAAGAGGAAGACTTTAGCATTATATCTTTCTAATGACGACTGATCTAATGAGCTGGCAATTTCAGACAGTTTTATGTTGTTTGCGCTCTTTAAAGGAGCCATGATTATATTGTAGTAACTGAATAACACCTTCCGGGTCAACCCCAAACTTGTCCTCCTGTATGGTCGCCAAAATATTAAGTCACATGACTGCCACATCAAACGCATATCCTTAATAGCCTAAATAAATAATCAATCAAGTTCATTGCGCCAGCTCAATGAGATGACACTTTCACAGCCCAAAACTCACAGGACATGTCGGAATAACAATACTAAAAAGTGTTAGAAAACCGTTACGTCTAAATATAGGCATGACGTAATACCGGTGTGGTATAGGATTTTGACCCTGCTGTGAGGTGACCCCAGGGTCAACATACCATATAGTATTTTGACCCCGGGGTCTGAATCCTATTATGGTATGTTGACCCCCTATAGAATATCTATATTTTATTAATAAAGAATTTGAATTCTATAGAAAAACTTTGAATATTAATACTATATCTGCAAATTAAAACATATTGACATATTTAAAAGTGTTTTTTGAAGAACTCAGATGCATTTTTTATGTCAGTAATAAATTTTGAATGTTAAAAATTACGTAGTTGTTTAAACACATATTTTACTGAAAATGAGGTAAGTAGTTATTAATTACTTAGGTAATCAAAGTGATGTATAATGATTTGGAATCTTGTTAAAATAGACAGGGGTGATCAACTGAGTAGTTAAATAGGGGATATGAGAAGATTTAATAACACAACATTACTAAATTCAAGGTCGTTATCCTTATAAACCATTGCCTAAACTGACATTATGATTAACGATTATCTGAACATAACAAACTAAAAACCATAACAATGTAAAATACAATATTAAAAGTGACAAAATTGCTATGTATATGCATTTTTAACAATATGTTACATTTCATTATCCATCAAAATATTCCTTAAAATACCTTAAAAGATTGTGAATATGTAGCAATATATAATAAAAGTAAATTACATGAGAAATAATGATCATATAAGTAACTACTAAAGAAAATAGTAAGGGGAATCAAAATCCTATGTGCGGGGGTCACTTTACTCTAGCGTTACGTTGACCCCGAGGTCAATATACTATGGGGGTCAAAATGCTATCTCACAGTGGCATGTCTAAATAGAGACATGTTGGAATAGGCGCCGGACCCCGATGCAAATGTGTTATGTAGCTGTATTTATCCCTCAAGTAATGATGGAGCACAGACTTTTGCATAGACTTTGCTCCTTATTCGCCTTATTCCAGAAGTTGCCACGGGCGCTGCCATCGTCGGGTTCGGGTTGTATTATTTTGCATGGGGCTGCCGCTCTTGACAGCAAATAAGTTCAATACGGAATATAAAGCCATCTTAAAGCCCCCCAGAGAATCTACGCTCACTTTTAGGGAGTGGATGGATGATAGAAGTAACATTTAAATTGGCTCCGTGAACAATAGCGCCCGGCAGCCTCCCTGTGAGCGCCACTATTTCCTGTCCAATTTGATCTCTTTGAGGTTTTTGCTGACTCGTGCTAAAAAGAATAAATATTTAAAGACCAGGCAGTGAGCAGGGAGCTGCGGGTGGATGACACTGACAACAAGTTTAAAAAGTGCACAAATAAAATGAATACTTCTGTGTTTACAGTGAGAGATGTTTGTGTCGCAATGCCAACGTGCGGTGACCAGAATTTCAAAATAAAAAACTGGGGCATCCTCGTTTTGTTGGGTGGTTGGTAATAATAAAATAGTGAAACGAGTCCCTAAGGAAAACGGTTCTGCACTCAGCCCATTCACAACTAACGTGAGCCAGTATAGTCACATTTTCTTTGTGTTTTGGTGATTTTTAAGCAGGTTTTCTGTAATTTACCAACAAAAAAATTACAATTTGTGCCTCTCTTTACTGTTGGCAGGGATCAAATTGGTCAAACACAGACATTTCTTGTGTAAAACTGAGACAAATCAATAGTTTGGGATAAATCTGCAGAGACAGGGGACACAGGGCTCAAAACTGGGACTGTCCCAGGTAAATAGGTATGTCTGGTCACTATTTGAACTCGAATGAGGTTTTTGCTGACGGTGCTAAAGTGAATAAATATTTGAAGATCAGGCAGTGAAAAAGGAGATGCGGGTGGATGTCACTGACATAAAGTAAAAAAATGCACACATAAAATGAATACTTTTGTGTTTAGAGTGAGAAATGTTTGTGTCTCAGTGCCAGCGTAAGGTGACCAGAATTTCAAAAGAAAATCTGGGACATTCCCATTTTTTCGGTGGTTGGTAATAATAAAATGGTGAAACGAGTCCCTAAGGAAAACTGTTCTGCATTTGGCCCATTCATGACTACATGTGAGCCAGTATGGTCACATTTTCTTTGTGTTTTGGTGATTTTTAAATAGGTTTTCTGTATTTTACCTTGAAAAATTGACAATCCATGCCTCTCTTTACTGTTGGCAGGGATCAAATTAGTCAAAAATAGGGACACCTGGGGAATTTCTTGTATAAAACTGGGACAAATTACTGGTTTGGGGTAAATCTGCTGGGACAGGGGACACAGGGCTCAAAACTGGGACTGTCCTGTGTAAATAGGTATGCCTGCCTGCCCTAAATTTGATCTCTATGAAGTTTTTGCTGACTCGTGCTAAAGTGAATAAATATTTAAAGATCAGGCAGTGAACAAGTAGCACTGATAAAATGTAAAAAAATGCACAAATAGATACTTCTGTGTTTAGAATGACAGATGTTTCTGTCTTAATACTAACACTAATAAGGTGACCAGATGTCTCCATTTACCCGGGACACTCCCAGTTTTGAGTTTTGTGTGTCCCCTGTCCTTGCAGATTTATCCAAAACCAGTGATTTGTCCCATTTTATACAAGAAATGTACCAGATATCCTTATTTTTGATTAATTTGATCCCTGGAAGCAGTAAAGTGAGGCATAAATTGTCATTTGTTTAGGTAAAATACAGAAAAGCTCCTTAAAAATGAGCAAAACAAAAAGAAAATGTGACTATACTGACTCAATTTAGTGCCAAGTGCAGAACAATTTTCCTTAATTATGCACTCGTTTCACAATTTTATTATTACCAACCAACCCAAACCAGGGATGTCCCAGTTTTTTATTTTGAAAATCTGGTCACGATAAACACTAATGTTAATGTTAAGCCATAATAAATATTACAACAGCACTACAAACTAAAGCAGACTATTCTACATACAAAAATAATTGAGTAGTCTTTATTTTTATTTTAACAGATTGTTTATTTTATGTTTTACGATTTTAACAAAAGTCGCTGTTCGCTTTGAGTCTATTGTGTAATTGTTGGTGCTTTTTTTATAACTCAAATGAATCCATGTTCATTACACATACATGGCTCTGACTTTCTGAATATAGATTTACTCATTATTTCAATTCAAACGTAATTATTCATTGTAGTAGTGATCTGACTCGAGTCCTGTTTTAGTCCATTCATTACACAGAAAAATACACTGACCTCTATAATGTCACCGTACTGTCCTCAAAGCAGCTGCTGCACTGAATCCAGGTCAAGACTCACTGCTGTTTTCTGGGCCAGTTACAAACAAAAGCGTCTCTCGTCCTCTAACACCTCGTTGACAAAGTGGTGAAAGTGAAGGCTATGAACTGTGTTTCTGTGGCTTCAGCTGCTGCAAAACTCCACCAGTGATGCATCTATCTGACTTCAAAGCCGGGACTGTAATTGTGCAAGGGAAATTCTAGCTTTGAAAATTGGATTCTGCGAAAAAAAAAAAAAAAAAAAGTAATGCAACTGAGAGAAATAATAAAAACAGGGTTGTCGAAAGTATCAAAAATCAGACACTAATCAATACTAATACTAATATCCAAACTAGATACCCACATGTGCAGGTATTAATCCAAAAGAATCACATTAACAGGACAAAATTTGAGCTTTGCAGAAAAGTTTTTGTAAGATTTTGAGCTTTATCAGAACCAATATAAGACCTCATGTTAAAATAGTAAAACAGTACTATTATTTTGTGCATGAAAATTACATTCTGTTACTAAAAAGGAGCATTTTTTAGCTCTCATTTCGTAGCATAATCGGTATAAAATATTGAGTGAATGAATTAGAATCAAAATGTTTTTTTTAATATAATAAAAATCCACACATAGCACCTTGAAGCACTGAAAGCACTTTACATTAAGGAACCAGTCACACAAACATTCATACACCAGAGTACGCAGACACTGGGGGTGAGGTGTATGGAGTAAGAAAGCTTTCAGAAATATTCTTGTGCATAGGATAGAAATCTGTGCATATTTGGCTGTAGTTGGGCATAAAATAAATATTCGTAAACTTTTGAATGAGTCCAGTCATACATAAAAAATGTTGTATTTTATCCATCAGAATAGGAATTGAAAAGTTACGACAAAGAATTACAATCACACAATGAGAATTTACAATATTTTTGATTTAGACCTGTTCTAGTCCTGTTTTAGTCCTGGTTCAGTCCTGGTTCAGTCCTTATGTGGCACAAAAGTCCAGCATCTCAATCGATGTTTCTTCTGCTCAGTAAATAATGCCTGTGAAGTGATGATGTATTTTTGACAGTCGAGTCACGTCTGTGAATTCGTATTTGTACTGAAGAAAGCGTAATCGTAAATTTTCATTTCACGATTGTAATTCTTTGTGTTGTAATTTTTCAATTCATATTCTGACTGATAAAATACACACAACACATTTTTATCTACGGCTGGTTTCATTCAAGATTTTATGAATATTTATTTTATGGTCAGCTACAGCCAAATATTCACAGATTTCTATCCTCTGCACACGGATATTTCTGAAAGCTTTCTTACTCCATAGAAGTGGGTCAAGTGTCTCGCCCAAGGACACAATGATAGTATTCATCTACGGGAGTTGGAATCGGACTGCCCACTCAACCAATATATTTATGTCAAGAGCAGGATTTGAACCTTTGTATCCGTGGACAAACACTCTGTACTGCCATGAATGCAGCTGTACGGTTGTATTGTGAGCTCAACAATCACAATTACGGATGAAAACAGTTTATTCAAAGTCAGTCAATTTAAACTGAAGAAAAAGTAGCACCATTGTGTACTGAATATTAATCTTTATTCATCCCACTTTCCCTCTGCACAGCCTATTCACTCTATTATAGACCAATACAGAAGCGCACGCTGCCTTCATATATTATCTCTGATTCAAAAACAGTGCTACAAAAATCACATTAAAAAAAGAATGACATTGATAGACTCACATTACAAACAGTGATAAACGTACAACACGAGTGAAGTCGCCCGGTCTCAGAAATGTTTAAGCGTAGGACTTCTGATAGCGAAATGGGATTGATGTCAAGATGATTCAATATATGATTCAATACATGTGTGACCACCGTAGACTGTATGTAAATGGACATAGTTAACCCGCCACATTTCAGCTCCATCCTCATATGTCCTAATAAATCTCACATTTTGCAAGCAATTTGGCGTGCGAGATGTTCTTGGGCTGCTCCCTCTCCTCCAATGCACCCGTCTCAGGTAATTGATGTGCGAAGTTCTCATTCTTTTATATCGTTGGCTCCATCATCTCCAACTCCAATTGACTTTACTTTTGAAAAAATGTCACCCCTCTTCATCTCGCTCTCTCACAGATCTGACCTGTAACTTGGTCTGCTTTGGTCAACACAGGAAGGTTTAAGCCAGGGGTGTCCAAACTTTTTTCATCAAGGGCCACATATCTAAACACAGACAAAGCAGAGGGCCGATCGAGAGCTGTAGACTGATGCTCAATACAGTGAATAATTGAAATATGTGCATGTTTAAGATGTTAGAATGAGCCATCAGTCTTTATTCATGCTAAGATCCTTAAAACCACACACTAAATATTAACTTTATCAAGGTAGATTTTCAAAAAAACTTGCAGTAAAAAGTTAATTTTTAATTGATGCAAGGTAATTCGGACCAGTTCACTTAGTGCCTCCGCTAATTTTCATTTCTCTCCAGCAACTAGGTCGGGAATCAAAATACAACAGACGGTTCGCAAAATCCCTGGAAGTGCAAGTTCGGACACCAGCCAATCAGCGAAGAGTCATATTCAGTGTTGTCAACGATTCCCGAGATCGAGGATTTAAAGTCGGAATAAAGAGAATGTTTGGTGAATTTCATCAAGGGGAAAGACGTTATTGTCCTCCTTCCTACAGGATTTGGGAAAAGCTTAATATACCCCGTTGGCGGCACATTACATACGTCACGACCAAATAGCAGCAATTGATTAAATGATAAAAAGTATCCGCCTACTGCTGAGCGAACGAATTCTAAGGCTGCGAGGTCAGACGGTTTGTGAAACGAAGTAAAACCAGCTGATGAATCAGGCTACTGGAAGCCTGAGGGCCAATAAAAAATTTGTCCGAGGGCCGCAATTGGCTTTTGGGCCATAGTTTGGACATGCCTGGCTTAATACCATACTGTGAAACCTCCCTGGAGATAAGCAACCCTTCACTAGAGATGTTCCTCTGTTGCACCTTCAAATAAATTCCTATTCTTAATATGAAACTTTGCTCCAAACTCGCAACTATAACTGCTACCCTCTTGAGCTTCATTTGACTGGAGCTGCACGCTATGGCTCCCTTAATCCACTTCTTTATACAGTCTATGGTGACCACGACCTGGGTGCTCCGAGATGCCGTGAAGGATAAGACAGAAGAAAGCCCGAAGCTAACTCGCCTAACTATGAGAAGCACGGTGGAGGTCATATGAGAGCAGACTATTTGAAGAAATGCTTTTACTGGAGTGGTCACGCACAGAAGCAAGATAGAGGTGAATCTTTTTGTTGTGCACCAGCCAAACTGCTTGAAATGTCACCACGACTTTTGCATTTAAAAAGTAGTAAATCATTTCTCACAGCATTGACGCGGTGTGTAATGCATAGGAAGTGCTTTTAGCCTCTTTGACGAGTTTCTGTCAAGAGGAAAGACTAAACTGTATAGAAGTGTTGCCAATTCCAGTGTGTTGCCAGAGACTTCGAAGGAAATGATCGCGAGTATACCTGTTAAAATTGGAGAGCTGTCAAGATTTCTTTATAAAGGGCTTTCAAAGTATGATTCAACCTGGGGAAACTTTTTTGCCAGTTGATGCAAAAATGTGTGGAAACTATAGCGCGACTAAAAAGGTCCTTTTTGAGTTAGCAAAGTTTCAACTGCCTAACAGTACAACATATGGTCCCTGAAAGTGTAGAAAGGAAGTAGCCTGGACAGCCATCGCATCTCTTTGTGGTTTCAAGACAAAAATGCTTGGATTTCAGTTTGTTTCTCACGGTAAACTACAAAACACAAACTGCAGTTAGGCCGTAAAGTTTTAAGCAATGTTATAATGTTGTTACCTTTTTAAAAATATACCTGGAGTTGCGTTTTTTTGTCATTTGCACATCTTAAAGTAACCCATTCCACCTTCAGATGTCATGAAGCAGTAGTTTTGACATTAACAGCTACATTTTGCCTTTAGTTCAGTCAAGATTAGGGCTGGGTTTCATTAAAAAGTTGCAGATACGATACATACCTCGATACATAGGCCACGATACGATACATATCTCAATACAGCGTACTTTCGATTCAATATGATATATTTCAAATTGATTTGATACCGTTCAGTAAAAATAAAGGCTAAATCATGGCTTTGTTGAACCACTTCTTGTGCAAAGTTAAAATGAAACACGCCCATTTTAATCATCAAAATAGTGAAAATGTCAAATGTGTCGCATAAACGAGTTTCCTTCCGCTAAACAAGCAACAAAACTGAAGCGCTGTCACAAAAGAAATTAGTAAAATATAACAAGAAAAAATACTCGGCGATATATCAATACAGCAGCCCACGATATCAATACTGTAGCATCAGATTAAACGATTTCAATATTTTTGCACACCCCTAGTAGACATTGACAGTTCCAGAACAGAACTCATCAAAATGACTCACCCTAACCCTAGTGAAGGTATATGGAGTTTAAAAACATGGTGGAGCTCTTCCTGTAAACAGAAGAGCTGTTCCACCTTGTGACAAGAACTCTGCCTAAATGTGCAAAGTTTGTGCGCTAAACATGTGTGAGTGAAACTAAACAAAACTCCAGGTATGTTTGTGATGAGGAAGCAGCATTATAACAAATAAGATTCAACCCCTAATTCTGTATAAAGACCTCAATTTGTGGGCATATACCACCCTTTTCGCTAATAGTACTGGCCCAGGGACCATTCATTGAGAAAAAGGATGTTGTGGATGGCCAGGCTACAGAAAAACGCTCAAAATAATGAGCTTTTAGTGGAAAACAAGCCTGAAGCGCAGACACTCCACACGAACACTCATGGATAAACGGGCCATATGTGAGGTATAGTCACTGTCTAGGCTCACACTGCATACAAACAAACCAGCGACTCAGCAGCGGTGGATCTCTGTGGGAATGACAGAAGAGGAGCTGGGAGAATCTGGTCCAACTCCCTCCGGACTCCTGCATATTTTTCTCATCAGCGACAAAAGGGGAAGCTCACGGGGAGAAGGAGAGAAAGTCCTCTATCCACAGAATGGGCACAACAGTCATCCATTACACATAATATGATTCATGGTCACATTTTATCTTCTAGCAGCCGCAGATGAACTCTTGGACTTCGCCTCAGCTGTGTGCTGATCTCGTGATGAGTCCGAATGAGACCACACATTCTCTGAGCTGCTTTCAGAAAGAAGGACGTGAATGAAATCGATCGCTTACAGCCAAATAAAGCTTGGAATTGCACAAGTCCAGGCCTTATGGATATTTACATTCAATATTTCAGTCCGAGATTGACCAAACTGTAGAAAAAGGTGAAATCTTACATAGTAGAGCTAAATTAAAGTGTGTTTTGGAAACACCAGCTTCTAGAAGGCTCTAAGTTACAAGTCTTGCCTCTGCTCCCCACAGGGCCACAGTATCACAGCTACAGCCTGCCCCCTGCTGTCAGTTCACACTCGGTACAGACATTTTTGCTTTGTGTTCTTTGTGGTTGTGAATGTGCGCTCAATAGGACAGCAAAGTCTGAGACCTGCTCAGGTCTGGCTGCTGGTCCGGACCAGTGGGAGCCCTGGCGCTGCTTGTTGGGACAGCTGTTTTAGCGCAGCTTGAGTTTGAAGGCAGAGATCTCCATGGGGTCCAGGCTCACGGTGGAGTCGTTGGCCAGAGCAGTGCCTGAGTGCATGAGGGTGAGAGACATGGGCTGCAGCAGCTGTAGGTCCAGGTTCTTGAAGAGTCCAGAGATGTTGAGCTGTAAAAAGGAATATTATTAAATTTTAATATCCGATAAAGAGCTCTGAAATAATCTAACCAAGCGGAGGTTTATGGAAGCTCATTTCCGCCAGTAAATAAAAAATAAAAGCCTCACAGAAAGTCATAATTATGAGTTTAAAAGTCCATAGAGGTCTCAGCTCTCTTAACAGGTAAACACGCACTTAGGCCTGTCACAATAGCACATTTTGATGATATATTGAAGAAAATAAAGACAGATACATTTGTGCCACTGACACAATAACAAAGAGTAGAATTATCCCTCTAAAACAATTCTAAAAACACAAATTGCAATGAAAAAACAGCAGTTATTTATTCAACCCCCTACATCTTAAATCTATATCGTAGAACGAGAAAATTAACAAAAAGTTCTCTCCTCAAACTAAGAAAAGCCCTTACAATAAATATTGACCCCAAAAAATGATTGTTCTATCTAGGGATGGGCATGATTAGTCGTCTAATCGATAATTGATCATTAGGAATTTGGTCGATTGCGTTCCTTTTTAATCGACAAACCGACTGTAGGTTGCTGTGTGTAGCGTAGTGTAAGGAGACGAGGCTGCGTTTGACACCGGAGTTGCGGCTTCACAGTCCCACGTTTTGGCTAAACCAGCACACGTCTGATCTCTGAAGACATGAACCATCTCCAACGCGATACACGCACAGAACAGACTCACCATCATCATCATCAACATCCCTCTGCCAAAGAGAGAACACTCATATCGTCGTGTCCTTTAGTCCAATCAGCGCACAAGGAAAGAGCGCTTTATAGTTTATGCAAATTAGCCATGAGGTTTTAAGTTTCATTTCTGGAAAACGTAAACAAATGTGGCAAAGCTGCATTAAACACATTATAATCTCAAACAGGCTGATGTGGCTCTATAGTGGTTATGGTTTATATGTTGTGAAGTTGAGTTTAATTATGCAAATTAGTAATAGTAATAATGATGATATTCTCCTGACTATCAATTAAGAAAATTTTATCAAATGCCCATCCCTAGTTCTGTCTATCATGTATTAAACAATAAGTCAGTATAGTAATTCTTGTGACAAGCCTATTACACAGTCAACCCATTGTGAAAACTCTCAACTGTGTGAGGCAAAAATGCACCAGGGCCACTCACATTTCCTTCCACCTTTTATTAAACGAGTTCCTTTCATTTTCAGATTTCAGTAGTGTAGGAATGTGTGTATTTGACGCACCTGTCCTTGTGTAGTGGTACAGTTGAAGGCCATGTTCTGAGCCTCCAACGCACAGTCCAGGCCCAGGCGGTGAACGATGAAGGCTGTGTACGGTGAGGGCATCAGTGGGTCCTGCTGCTCACACACAAACACACAAATCAGTCTTCATCCAGCAAATACAACAGGATAATAAACCCAGACTGGATAAAGAAGTGGACTTAAGGGAGTGTGACGTCACCCATAGCGTTCAGCTCCAGTCAAAAAAAAAACTCACCAAGGCCAAAAGTTATGGGGTGTGTGTTCCATATTAGGACAAATTAGCAAAATAAAAACATCAGGATCATGTAAAGCAAGTTAATACAAACATTTAAGACCAAAATAGGAAGCCTGAGAACATTTTTTCAGTACAAAAAGAACTGAAACCAGAGTCGATGAAGCCGAAGTGGGTTAGCAATGTTGAATTATATATATACAGTCTATGATAATAAAAGATTTCTTCATACCAGTGTCTGGATGCTACGGAGGTTGACCAGGTGCATGTCACAGGGGAAGGCAGACTTGAGCGGGGCAAAGGTCTGTAAAGGAGGGATGCCTCTGCGTTTGGGCAGGACGGGCAGTGCCAACACATCATGGTTTAAAAAGGCACTAGTCATGTGACTCAGAATCGAGGGGAAGCTTGTGACCCCAGTGTCCATCATCTGAAAAAGACAGTTAGTTGGAGTGATGAGACAAACAAACGGACTCATTCTAATCTATCTTCTCTATTACATCTACACTTTAAAGTTAGGATAATCTACAAGCCAGAAGAGTCTAATGTAAGAGCACAACAGCCTGGGGTGACTTATCTCCAACTGACTAGTGGTGGTGAATTGTTTTGTGAAGATAAAAGCAGTATTTTCTAAGACTTTAGAGAGTGATTTTCATCTTTCAAATATTTTTTATGTCTTACTTCTTCGAGAATGTTATTTGCACGTATCATTCTTAGACAGCTACATCTAAAGAGGGAAGTAGGGAGACCAAACAGGAGCGAGTAGCATTAGTTTCTATCACATAGACTATGATTCATTCTAATGACCATCAGTGTCGTTGCTACAGCAACATTACCTCTTGAACTTCGTCACTCAAAATTTGAGAGAAACTACGAAACAATGAGGAGAATTTGTGGAAAAAGCCATCACGCTGAAAACGTAATGATGTGGAAAGAAAGGAAATGAAAAAGACAATTAGACAGAAAGACAGATGGTGAAATAAATGAGTGGAGAAAGTGAGCTACACAGTGAAGGACAAAACACTTGGCTGAAGTTTAAACAGCTTTAATAGAGAGAATATATTTAAAGGGCCCATATTACACCATTTCCTGATCTGTTGTGATATTTCCTCTTCAAAAACATATCTGGACTTGTGTTTGGTTTCATTTACAAATGTTTTACACACAAATCCTGCATATTAAGTTTTCTCTCAAACAGAAAACACTCTGTTCCACCTTGTGATGTCATGTGGCAATACAGAAGTGCTCCACTATGTTTTTAAAGTCCATACATCTTCACTAGAATCATTTGGATCATTTGTGCCAATCTCTACTGATGTAAAGGTAAAAGGAGCTGTTAACTTGAAAACCATGTGCCATCACAAGGTGGAAGAGAGTATTTTGGAGTTTTGGAGATGCAGACAGATGCAGGTTTACTCAAACTTGTGTGAATGAAACAAAACACAACTCCAGGTATGTTTTTGAGGAAGTAACAACATTCTAACATTGCTTAAATCTCTCAAGAGTCAATTTGGTATCATATAGGACCTTTAACGTTGTGAATAGACAGCATATATTTAATGTTATGAGCTCTTCTCTGGCACTGACCTTGTTGCCCATGCCTCTGTGCTCCAGGAGCAGTCTGAAGCGATTCACAGTTTTCTTGTTGTCCTTCAGGCCCTGTCCTAGCCCGCGGTTATCATCTTGCATCAGGCGCCGGTCCAGAATCACCTCGAGCTGACCTGAGGCAGAAATGAGAGACCAGAACGTCAGCGATAATTAAACTAGAGTAATAATATGTGTCCCAACAATCTATCTATCATCTATCCAGACAGTGTTTAAACGGAGCTAGTTTGTGGTAAATTCTAGAAAATAAAACAAGATATTAAAAAGTCGACACATAAATATCTAATTGCAGTTGTTTGGACAAACATTGTGATAAGATTTGCGATTTATGTTTTAATAATTAACCTGTCTCACACCAGACTGAGAATTTGTAGAACTCAATTCAGGCACACATTTTTAACATACAAAATAATCCGTATTGAGGCTAAAATAGGCTGAAGTACATCTGTCAGCATCGCCATGTTTGTTTTGGTTAGTTTGGGCGAATTTGGCTTCAGCACAATCCCGCTCTATGATTGGTCTGTCCGGTTGATTGACCAAGATGGATTCTCAAATCAATTTTCAGTTTTGATTGCAATTTTGCAATGTGTTATGTGACAGAATGTAAAATGTGATATACATACCACTTTCTAAGCTGGTGACTCCCAGAGCCTGAGCCGTGTGCAGGGTCAGACGGTACTGGCTGTCCTGGATGTAAGCTTGGCTCGGCATGGGGTAGAAGTTGGCTTGAAGAGGAAGCTTTAAATAGTGACGACGAGGCTGAATCTACAAAAAACAAAACAAAAAAAGTCAAAAAGGTGCATGAAAATACTGTTATATGGGACATGTACCCCTGATATGATGCTAACCTGACCTTGATAATCATTGAATTGTTGAATGTTTCTTTGAATTTTGTTTGTTGTTTGAATTTAATGAATATATAAATGTAACAAAAGTAATTACAAAGGTACATAAATGTATTTTTTTAATAATTAAGACATAAAACTGAACATTACAGCAGTGCATAAGGTGGAGACTTTAATATAACCCTTTCTGTTTTTGGTTTTTGCCTCTTCCTGCACTTACTTTTTTATCTAGTGCCATTTCTATTGTAATATGTTATACAAGTGCAAAATAAATAAACAGACAAACCTGGAAACCATTGAGATCAGTGTAGAACATTTCTCCACTCTGGATGTCAGTAACCAAGCGCATAGCCAGCTCCTTATTGGTCTGATCTCTGATGTCCACCGTCGTAGTCATGTCGATAGATAAACCTTCAACACCTGAAATAAATAGTTTGTGTTGATATTAGTCACTGTAATAGACAGGCCTGTCACTATAACAAATTATGAAGTGTGATGATATTGCTGAAGTAAATACAGATGATAAACGATAATACTGAAACTAATTTATGCCACTGACAATAACTTAAAAGTGCACTGTGTAACTTTTCAGCTGGAGGTCTGTCACCTGCTTGTTTCTATGGATATGTCATTGCTCTGCCTGGAATGTTCCACAGTATGACATTAAAGTGACTATAAGAAGGTGTTCTCTCCACAGATCTGACTTGGTCTAACTTGGTCTGGTTTGGTCTTAGAAAGGTTTAATGCCATACTGTGAAACATTCCAGATGAAGCAAAAACATCTCCATGAAGAAAAACATTTGGCTACACAATGCACCTTTAAGAGCAGATTTAAACTGCAAAAACAATTGTAAATGCACAATATTGTAGAAAAAAAATCATAAGCTGCAATAAATTAACAGCAGAATGAAACACTGCTGCTCATAGAAGTTATTCAACCAATATTTTTTTTTATTATGTAATGAAAAGGGATGGGTTAACACAAGTTTTCCTCTTTCCACTCTTTTTTTGAGAAATGTGCTTGTCTGTTGTTTCTAATATATGTAGTACGTATATGATTCTTTCTTCTATCTTGGCACAAATGAGAAATAAAAACAAAATCAAACAATCATTCAAAACCTTTTACAGCTTAAATCTTTTCATATAGCCAAATAAAACCAAAAATGTCCCAGTAGAGGAAAGAAAATGTACACAGCAAATACTGACCCCTAAAAAATATGAGTCCAGTTTCCATATACTGAGCGATATAGTAATTATGGTATAGTAATTACTGTGACAGGCCTAGTAAAAGACCATCTGCTGTTGCAATAAAGGCCACTGTTTTGCTAATAGTGCATTTCCTACCAGGCACATTGTGGATCCGTATGGTCTGTTGGAAGTGCTGATAATGCGCCACCACCTCAGAGAAAAGAGGGCCCTCCACCACACGAACCACAGGGGTCTCCTTCTGACTGTACGGCTGTAAAAAAAAGAGGAGAAAAATCCAAACTGACTGAGAGAGAAGCTGAGAGGGACATGGAAGAAATCTAAGAAGTCACAAAATTTAAAGGGGCCATATTTTGAGCTGTTTGAAGTTATAATGTTGTTTCCTCATCAAAGACATCCCCGGAGTTGTGTTTTGTTTCGCTCACACATGTTTAACACACAAATCCTGCATATTTAGGCTGAGTTCTTCTCTTAAACTGAAAACACACAGTTCTACCTTGGGAAGTCATGCAATAATACAGGAAGTATTACAGGATTGACGCAGGATAAACAGTTTTTAAACTTCATACACCTTCACTAGAATAATTGATTTCAGCCCCGGAACTGACAATCTCTACTGAACAAATGGTAAAACAGTAGATTTTAAATTGTGAACTACCACTACAAATTGTTAGCCTGATTCATCAGCCGGTTTCACTTTATGGAAACCGTCTGACCTTGCAGCATTAGGATTTGTTTGCTCGACGGTAGGTGGGTACTTTTTTATCTAAAAAGTCGCTGCTATTTGGTTGTGACGTATGTAATGTGCCAAATCCGGTAGGAAGAAGGGCAATAACGTCTTTCCCCTTGATAAAATTCACCAAATATTCTCTTTGCTCTGGTTTTAAATCTTCGATCTCGGGAATCGTTGCCAACACAGAATGTATGTCTTCGTCTACATCCATCTCGATGCTTTGTTTACTGTTGTGCTGCACCACAAAAGGGACCCAGACAGGCGCTTGAGTTTGATGTCATGGCTTCACAGCTCTTCACTGATTGGCTGTTGCACGATCTACAACTTCTGGGGTTCTTGCAAACTGTCAAACTGTGTATTACGATTCCTGAACTAGCTGCTGGAGTGGAGGCACTAGGTGGCGCCAGCCTATCTAACAAATTACAAGGTGGAACAGAGCATTTTGATGATAAAAGGATCAACCAAACAAGTGTGAATAAAACATAACTCCAGATACAGTCTTGAGGAGGTAAAGACATTATAACATGGCTTAAAGCTCACAAAAGTTAATCACCCCCTTAGTCAGTCATCTGTTTGTCTCCATGAAGACGCTGAAATGTTCCACAGTACGGCATTATGGAGTCACCTGCTCCTATTATTCAAGATAAATATGTGTCATGCCGTATATATAATAATGTGGAACATTTTAAGCAAAGCAATGAGCTTGGAGCATCTTTATTTTATTATTGTATCATTTGTGTGCTACTGTGTCCAAATAATTTCCCTTGTGGATCAATAAAGTTTGTCTAAGTCCAAGTTTCCCTGAATGGAATAAAAAAGAAAATTATGTCTTCAATCAATTCAGTGTATTTCAAGTGACAATATAAAAAGAATAATTGGAAATACCTTCGCTTTTCCATCTGGTAAAAACAAATATGCTCCACTCTTGTCTTTAGACGGCCGGGTGCCATAGACCATAAACTGCATTTGAACCTTCACTTCTTGGAGATCCTCTCTGCGCCTGATACTCTGAACAAGGAAAAGACAAAGCAAAAAAATCAATGAAACAGAAATGAGATAAAAGAGTGCAATGTAGTACAAGACCCTGCAATGTTCACTTTTATATCATGCTTATGGGTATTTCTCCCCAAAAGAAAATCCCCAAATCATCCTGTCAGAGTTCAGTCAGATTAGATAAAACAGACCTCCAAGAGTCCTGTGCTTCCGGAGAATCCCAGGATGAGCGACTGGCTGCTGATGTAGAAGGTTTGAGCGTCTGCCTGGAGGGAGCGCACAGGGAGGGGGTCAGCTGCCCGGGCAGTTACCCCACTGCCCGGCAGCCTCAGCAGGGTGTCCGAGCGAAGGGTCATGGGAGAGTCAGCGGAGTCGTACAAGTGAAACACAGCCAGACCCAGAGCAGGAAGGCGTGCCATGAATGTAGCCTGAAAACGGGGATATTGAATTTATTACTACTGAATTACTGAATTGCTGGGTTTCAGAAGACTACGCAGCATTCAAAAGGACGATATTAATTAATACACATGGGGGGCAGCTAAAATTTAAATTCAAATTGTTAAAATGCTAAATTATGTCGTAATAAAGTGAGTTCTAGGGTTTAGTTAATAATTGAAAATACCAGGTTGTGAGTTCACCTTATGGCTTTTTCATGGCAAAGTACAATGAAATCAGAAGGGAAAAGTGGCCCTTGCTCCCATCTAACATCATCACATACTTATCTGAAAACCACCAACAGGAAAGAAATCAGACATCAGACACAATCAGAGGTGGGTAGTACTCACTTCATTTACTCAGTTATATTTACGTGAGTAAAAAATACTTTTTTAGCACTAAGTTTTGGTTACAAGTGCCAACAGCTTCATGTGGACAATAACGAAAGAGTCAAACATTTGTTTTTCTTGTCTATGTAGATATCTTTTGAAATAGCTGGTATTTTGCATTATTTAATGTCTTCCAATTATATTGAACTAAAGCTCTAAATTAGATCTTACATCCTGACAGTTACTCTTTAAGTTATACTTAAATTAATACTATTTTTCACACTTTTTTACATATTGAAATTATATTTTAACAGTAACATTACTCTCAAACTCTTACACTACCCACCTCTGAACACAATCTGTGCTGAAGATGTACTTTTAACTCTGATGATGCATTTTCTGATGGAACGCACCAGTAATGTGTATTTTAAGAGGATAAAAGAATTTATCTTAAAATAGTTCAAGGTTTCATTACTACAAAGTGATGGAAAAGCTCAGGGGGTTTTATTGCTTCTTTCCAATCGGCCTGCAAACATTATAGCTCGGAGTGGGAGGACAAACTGCAATGCAGCCAGTGCAGATAAGCAAAACAAACAGAGGCTTTGTGCCCGGCCTCACCTCAAATACCTCTGCGCTCATTTGACTTGCAGAGCTCCACTGAGCGCTCAGCTGCACAGGGACGGTCTGACCATCTTCTGTGAGAACTCTCACCCTCACAGTGTTCACCAGCACCGTCACAGCGCAAAGACGCTCCCGCTCCACTGGGTTGAACAGCACCACGTACCTGATAACAAGACAAAAGCTGTGGGATAGAGCAGACAATGGGGAGGGGGGGGTAGATACATCGAGCCCTAGGGTACAAATAATACCTGGGCCCTGCTGGGTCCAGTTCGATTAGAGTGCGCTGAGGCAGAGAGTCCTGGGTCGCTCGCCTGTCGTCCTGCACAAGATAAAACAAAGAAAAGTGTCAATGTGGCAAAGATATTCTTTCATTGTTCATATCCATTTCCTCTCTGGGTTTCTGCGTTCTGTGCTTCTTTTTACCGTCTCGAGGAAGGGCTCTGTCTGGTAGAAGCGATAAAAGTCTTTGTTCTTCATCACCAGGAAATGAGCAGCATTGATGATCACTCTCTTCAGGCCGATGAGCCCGCGCAGTAATCTGCAGCGGAAAAGCAAGAATCAATTGTTCACTGCAGCAGTCACACTGGGTTTATTTTGCACTTCACATATTCAATAGAAAAATATTGAGAAAAGAAAAAGAAAAGAGGCACAGTCCTTTGATTTGATGTTTGCACAGACGTGAAGGTCAGTTCATTCATTTATTATGAGCACTTACTTCGTCGCATAGTCAATGACAACGTTTTCCTTTGCGGTCCCTGTGATGGCATCGTGGTGCTGGAAGAGACCCACTGAGCGTCTGGCATCCACCAAAAGGGCGTAGTCTGATACAGGGTAACGTCCCTCCATACCGGCGTGACGAGCATTAGCCACCGCAAGGCTATAAAGGATCTCTGCTCCTCTGAAGGACATGACAGTTATGAAGACAATTAATTCAAGTAACTAGATTTTAATTGAAGATATAACGTGAGTATTATTAGTCAATGCAATCACTGATTCTTTGGTAAAAGGTTAATTCTGCCATCAGTTCAATTCTTTTTGTCACACAGGGGACTTTGTTTACCTGATATACATGTTTCAGCTGCTCCCTAAGCTATCATTCAATGGTGAGCAGTATTCAAATTATCATTGCAGGTTATAACTTGTACGGTCACAAATGAATAAAAATGAAGTTAATTATAACTCTCCTTGATCTGAAGCCAGTTCAGAGTGCCACCAGTTACTCTCAAGTATCTTTATTTGATAGCAGTTTAAAACTCATTTACAAATGGCTCACAGAATTCGACCTACCTGAGGTGAGACTCTATCACACGGTCCAGGCTTTTGTAAAAGGGTCTAGAAGTGAAATAGCCGGTCCAATAGTGGTCTTCCCGGTCAGCATAAGAAAAGAAATCCCCACTGAGAATAGGGAAGTCTGTGGGTCTGGTTCCCTCTGGCACCCCGTAGGCTTTGTACAGAGCACTGAAATAGTCTGAGAGAGTCCCAAACTGAGCCTGCGGAATGCAAAAGAAAAAATTAAATATGAGCTTTGTTTTAAATGACAAGGCCTCAAGCAGCAGTGCCCTTCACACGAGATGCATTAATTAACAGAACTATGTAGCTTTTCTGGCACCTGCTTGCCTTCATAAAAGAGGTGACTGCTTTGTCTGGAAAATTCCACAGAATGTCTTTCAAAGGAGATGGTAAATTTAAAGCCAAACAGCTGACACCGCAAGGCTAAGTTACATGAATTTGAGCAATAAAAACACCAGTACTTGAACAAATATGAAAATGTTTAAACATAAATATAAAGAAATGATAATAGCTATGTATGCAGAAGAAGGAATTTAAGTTTATTTATCTAAATGTAAACTAGGCTATATTTATTTTTCTATCTTGAGTGATGTGACTTACTATAAGAGTCTGGCAGAAGCACATTATTGCTTTATTGGGATTGTAAAAACGGGTGAGGGTAGATAAGCATTGCTTCTTCCCACTCCTTTTCGGAATGATTGATTTTTATAAAAAAAAATTTTTTTTTGGAGATTATAGTTGTGATGAGCACTGTAAAATAATTGCCTTTATGTATCTGTTGATTACTACATAATAATGCAATTTATAATTTACTGCATGATAATGAAATTTATCATTTATGGAAACATCCAAATAAACTTATCATCATCTTTAAAAATGCAAGCTATTCAGATATTGATACTTTGCAGGGGCATAACATTGGGGGTGTTCTACATGCATATGTAGTGGCAAAGTTCGTGACCAAGTTGCCATGGTCACACAATGCACATATTAACCAAAAAACGTTTGAGATTGTCAGAATCCTGGAGAAAAATTATAAAATGGATTTAAGCAACACATTTTCAGGAACCTGTGTTCATGGTCTTGTTCAGGTGTTCCACTTTCGACAAAAAGGTGACAGGGACTAAGTGAAAAACTGCTAATCCTCCATCTTGTGAATGTAATTTGATGACCGACAGACTTGTTTAACAGCACAAATGAGCTCACCTCTTATAGTTCTTCCTGGTCAGATTGCGTTACATTAAAGTCTAATCTGAGTAACAGAGCTTCTAACAGAGCAGTGCTTACAGCTAGCATCACACCCATAGGTAATGTTCATGACAAAGCTGCCAAGAATCAGTAATATAATAATGCAAGCAGTAACATCTCCATAGAGGCAAGCAAACCCTTTCACCTCAAGAAAAGTTGCACAGAGAAACATTAATTATACTCCTACAGTGAAGAAACTTTACCTGTACATGCAACTCGGGATGTGAATTCATGTAGTCAAAGAGTTTCTGGTAGTTGATGTACTGCTGGTCCCACTCCAAAGCCTTGTCATAGCGGAAATCATCTCCCAGAGGAACAAGAAGCACCTTACTACGATAGAGCTTAGACTTTTTCCTGTACTGATCCAAGAGCAGCTGTGCCCTGTTTAAGAAAGAAGGTGAAGGTAAAAAATTTGACATGTCGAACTTTTTTATGAATCAGGGAAAAATTGTGATAATAGAAAAAATGTTCCCTTATTTATATTTTATATAGTCTGATCTATGTTTTAATATAGTTTCTAAATCAAAAGCATAGGTAATACAGTAAGTACTCCACTATGCATACACCTTCACTGGAATCATTTGGATAATTTCAGCCCTGGAATTGCTGATATCTGCTGATTAAAAGGTAAAGGGCATCTGTTAACATGAAAACTACCACTACATGACCTCACAGGGTTGAACAGAGCATTGAGAGCATAATAAAGGGTTACTCAAACACCTGTGACATTACAGGTAACATTATAACATGGCCTAAAGCTCACAAGAGTCAGTTTTGTGTAATACAGATCCTTTGAATAGTAGTCTTTTGGTGGCCTGAAAACAGGGTTAACGAAGCAATGACATTTCCCCTTTATTTATCAGAACACAAAGTCTGTTAGCTTTGGCATGAAGTTATCTTGAGTTTGTTTATAATAGGCCAGAGGAGATTGAGTTACTAACATCAGCTGTGTGAGGCATTCTTAGTTACACTTAATAATAACTACACCTTAATAAAGCATGAGGGAAGCCTTAATTCACAATGAACAAATGTGTAGTTTATTAAGAATGATTCAGGCATAAAAAAACTACTTAAGAGGTTAGGGTTAGGTGTATTAGTCAAGTTCTAAGCCTGAATCATTCTAAATAAACTAGATTTTCATTATTCTTTTCTCCCTGGCATTTAGTGCTAGCTAGTCAGGTTATCTTGGTGTTTTTATTGTAGTCGTCACATATTATCTGTATATATGTATATGTAAGCATTTCTACTATTATGTTGACTTGTATGTGAAGTACTTTGGTCAGCTGAAGTTGTTGTAAATGTGCTATATGAATAAACCTGAATTGAACTGAACTGAATTACAACTTTTTTCATGCTTTATTAATGAGGTTAATTAGGTATAGTATAAAATGTTACGATTATTTGGCATTGTACAAACCTAACAAACAAACCTAAGTGTATTAAAATGTCCTTGTGAGCTTTAAACCATGTTATAATGCAGCCAATGATGTTCATTTTGTCTTCTTATATACTTTAACTTCTTAGGTTCTTTTTAAAGACAATGCAGTAAAGTGTTGTTACTTCCTGTAACAACAGCTGACATACGACACGTCACCACCAACACCGGTGATGGCTTGCAGCTAGCAGCCGAAACATGTCAACAAGGTAAATACACTTTACTGCGTTGTCTTTAAGAAGAACTTAAGAAGTTAATGTTATAATGCAGTTACCTCATCAAAAACATACCTGGATTTGCGTTTTGTTTCATTCACCCGTTTGAGTAATCCTTTATTATTAGTCTGTTTACATCTCCAAAGCTCTTAAAGCTCTATTCCACCTTGTGATGTCAGGAAGATGTAGTTTTCAAGTTAACAGCTATGTTTTACCTTTAGTTCAGTAGAGATCTGCAAGTCCAGGGCTGAAATTATCCACAGGATGTTAGTGAAGGTGAATAGAATTTAAAAACACACCTGTATTATCACATAACCTCACAAGGTGGAAAAGAGTGTTTTCTGTGTGAGAAGAACTCTGCCTAAATATGCAGGATGTGTGTGTTTAACCAGTGTAAAATAAACAAAAACACAACTCCGGGTATGCCTATGTAGATCAGAAAACTGGGTTGTATAGTCCGTTTAAATGTATGGATCTTGCTTTGTCTGAATGTAGGACAGTCGGAGCTACTCACCTTTCTGCTACATTGGCTTCCACAATAGATTTGGGAGGCACTTTCCAGGGGCAGTTAATACGGCCACCTGGTAATCTTTTGAAGTCAAACTGGCAGCAGATCTTTGGGTCTGGGCCGCACGTGTGAGGCACATCGTAGCTGTAGAAGGGCATCATGTGGCAGAATATGTCTGTGTTGGCTCCTGTGTCTGCAACAGAAGAGAGGAGACAAGCCAATATCTTTTAATAAATCATTATTACACTAAATAAGTCAAATAAAGCTAAACCAAAACTATTAAATGTTTACAGTTCCTCTACGGCTGATATATTGCTATAGAAAATATAATGATAAACAGTCTACTACTAACACATTAAAGGGCTCATATTACACTTTTTTCCGATTGATGTTAAAATGTTTTTTTCTCATCACAAACAAACCTAGCGTTGTGTTTAGTTTTATTCACACGTGTTTATCACAAACCACAAACAGAAAATAGTCTGTTCCACCTTGTGATGTCATGTGGTAAGACAGGAAGTGCCCCGCTGTGTTTCAAACTCCATATACTTTCACTAGACCTGGAATTTCCCATCTTTACTGAAGTGAAGGTAAAAAGTAAATGTGTAATGAAAGAAAGCACAACTCCATGTATGTTTCTGAGGAAGTAACAGCATTCTAACATGGTTTAAAGCTCACAAGAGTCAATGATACTGGTGGTCTTCAGATTATAGAATATGATGATGTTGTTCTACCAAATGGGGGCAAGAGCCAGATTTTCTTATTAATTGCATCACACCATGAAATATCCAGAAGGTAAATACACAAATGTTGATCCTGATTATGGGTGTGCAAAAATATTGAAATATTGATATATCGTATCGTTTAATGTCATAATACAGTATCGATATTGTGGGCTGCTGTATTGATATATCGCCAAGAGTATTTTTGTTATATTTTACTAAATTATTTTGTTACAGTGCTACAGTTTTGTTGCTTGTTCAGTGGAAGGAAACTCATTTAGGCGACACATTTGACATTTTCATTGTTTTGATGATTAAAATGGGTGTGTTTCATATTAATCTCACACAAGAAATGGTTTAAACAACGACTGCCCTGATTTAGTCATTACTTTTTATTGAACCATATCGAATTGCTCTGAAATATATCATACTGAATTGCATCAAATCGAAAGCCTCTTATATCGAGATGTGTATCGTATCGGCAACTTCTTAATGAGATCCGGTCCTAAACCTGATCATTTGTATTAGTAACAAGACCCAAGAAGTCTCAATGCAGGAAAAACTACTTCATATCTGATTAAGGGCACAGAGGGAGTAGATATGTCTAATGTCAGTATAATTTGTATAACTATTTGAATATAGATTTCAGTTTTTCAGTTTCAGTTCTCAGTCTCATGCTATTTGTGTATTCTGAGTTTTGTATGTCTCAAGGACTGCAGATGGAAATTAGCTCCAAGAACTATAGTCTGGTACAAAGAAACTTTTCAATGTTTCTTTGGTTAATGCTCCTTTATACGGTCCCTGTACAATAAACAAAATAAGAACAAACTGTATCACAACAGAAATCTGAGCCTCTAAAATACAGTTCTTTCCATCATTTTTTTTTTTTTTTTAAATCAACAATAAGTCTATAAATACATTAATATGAAAAGCCTAGTTCCTTCCAATAAAAGAGTTAAAATATATAGTACATACTTATGCCCAGTAGCTATGGATACAAACCACACACAAACTAATCTTTTAGTTTCCATTGCAACCTTTCTTGAATATTTAATGGAAAGGGAGAAAAAGAAAAACTTAATTCAGAACATTAGCCTCTTTTTCCTCTGTGTCTTAATTTTGGCAAAACATAAATAAAGGGGTAATCTTTGTAATCAGGACATTGTATTCATTATAAAGCCCAATTTAAAATCCATTGTTTGGAAATGACTGCTAATGTTTAAAAGTTTAAAATCACATTCTAGAAATAAACCCATTAATGAATCAGTAGTAATTAGGGCTGGGTATCATTAAGGAGTTGCTGATACGATACATATTTCGATAAATAGGCCGCGATACGATACATATCTCAATACAGTGAGTTTTTAATTTGATAGATACGATATATTTCAAATCAACTTCAGTAAAAAATAATGACTAATCACTGTGATGATAAAAGTCTTTGTTAAACCACTTCTTGTGCAAAGTTAATATGAAACATGCCCATTTTAATCATCAAAACAGTGAAAAAGTCAAATGTCAAAAGTTTCCTTCCTCTGAACAAGCAATAAAACTGTAGCACTGTAACAAAATAATTTCCTACAACATACCAAAAAATACTCTTGGCGATATATCAATACAGCAGCCCACGGTATATGTCGATATTTCAATATTTTTGCACACCCCTAACAGTAACTAACTTGCATTCCATCAAGTATTGTGGTAAGTATTATGCGTGGACTGTCAAAATGGACTTCAAAATGGTCACCGTTAGAGGCTATGACAAGTAGCGTGACTCATTCTGAAATTAGCTGATCACAGATGAATAGTTTCACAAAAGAACTGGAGAGCTGAGCTGGCCATGCTTCACTCACCCCACGCCTGCCTCCACATGAACTCCAGGTTGCGTGTGGATGAGAAGTGCTTTTTGATGGAGTAGTGGATTCTCTGGATGAGCATGCTGGTGATGTTGGCCTTTTTCAACAGATAGGGCATGGTGGCACTGTGCCCAAATGGGTCCACTGCCCACCCGCTACGTGGCGTAATGCCTGGAGTAAACAGAGGCGAGTAAAAAGCATTAAAAAGTGATGAGGAATATAAGTTTTTAATGACATGTGTATAGGGTGTCATATTATGGAGCTCAAGAGTGACAGTGCTCCAGGTCTAGAAGTAAATTTGACACTCATTTTTCCTGATAGACTCTTCGAAAAATTCAAATATTAGAGTTTAAAGACATTACAGAGGCTAATCAGATACATGTTAACTACAGGGTTCCCCACTCTTTTTCACTGACAAAATTTCAAAACTTTTCCAAGACTTTTTCATGACCTAAAGTGAATTTTCCATGACTTTACAGCAGCCTGCATGTGTAGAATTGATCAGACTTTTAAAGCTAGAAATATTAACCCTTTCCACTCACCTTATGGTTTGGTATTATAGTTTTTTAACATTAAAAATACTGTCAGTGCATTTATTGTCCTCTCTTTTAAACAAAAGGCACATACACATACGACATAATCATAATAGCCTAATGATAACTTAACAGAACGCTATAGTTGTATGAAAGAGATACTAAAATTCCATGACTTGTCTAGGCCTAGAAAATGGTACTTTCAATTTCCATGACTTTTCCAGGATTTCCATGACTGTGGGAACTCTAACTAATGTCCAAGGTGCGTCTGTTTCTAAAAAAAGCTGTTTTAAACACAAGATTCTGCAAAATGTTTCATAACTTTCCAGTTTATAAAGTTTCAGAAACAGATTTGAAATAAAATTATGGGCCTTGTGGTCATTAGGCACCACGTAGCTGATTAGCCTCGAGCAAGCTTTCCAACTTTTAATAGAATTTTTTTTTTTTTTTTTCAGAAAATCTATGAGGAAAATGAATGAGAAATTTTGTTCCAGAAAAGGGGAGTAGGCAGTCACTGTTGAGCTCCATATTAGTTGACCAGTGTGATATATTGCTGAAGTAAATAGATGATTATATTGAAGCTATTTTATGCCACTGACTTAATAAACTTAAAACAAAAATATAGATAATATCAATAAACATATAAGCTGTAAAAAATAAACAGCAGAATGAAACACTTTTGGAGTTTGTTTGTACCTATAATGAGTCACCCAAGTTATTTTTTCACCATTTTCAGCTCAAATCTTTACAGGTTTTTAATGACATGTATTTGTGTAGTGTAGTGTACCTAAATTTCTTTCAAGCCACTGATGCCCTTCAATAAGCTGGTCAATCATCGCAAAGTAGTGAGCGTTTGCTTCATCTGTCATGACCCAACCTCCTGTCACGATCTCGAACTGTCCCGCATGGACCAGTCTGTTGAAGAGAGGATTAAGAAAAAAGCGTGAAGATAATCCAGCTTTAAAAGAAAGGAAGACTAACACTAAACAACAGGCTAATTTTAGAAAACATGCATGTGTTTGTTAGGGATTTACTCGTTGAACTACATTTTAATGTAATGTATTGATTTATTGATTGCTTTGCAGAGACATCATGCTGGGGGGGTTCCACATGTATGCCTATATAGAGGAATGTTCAGCAGTTGCCATGGAGACACAATGTGCACATTAACAAACAAATTCAAAAAAGATTTTAGATAGTGTCCTTAGTGCTGTTTAAATATATTTTGATATAATATGAGTGTTCAAGGTCTTGTTTTGTTTCTGAGTAAATAAAAAATCTTGTGAGTGTAATTTTATGTGCCAGACTTGTTTAACAGCAAAATCATCTCACCTGTCGTACTTCCAGCTAAGTCAGTTCTTTTGGTCAAATTGTGTTAAAATAAAGCTCAAGATTTAAGTCTAACTTGAGTAACAGAGCTTCTGACAGAGCACTGCTTATAGTTATCAGTACTGCAAATTGAGTGTGTGATGCCAACTCTTTCCAACTTTTGTCCAATCTCTACATGCTGTCGTTAAGCCAGTTAATACGCAGCAATAACGTGTCCTATCACAACCATGCAAGCGCACTCAGATCTGTGTCTCACTGGCAGCAGGAAACTATGGACCAGTGGACTCACTCTGCCACTGAATCCAACAGATCAGCGTGTGGATGCAAAAACAACTTTCTCCAGCTAAACTCAGACAAGACAGAAGTCATCGTCTTTGGCCCACAGAAACAAAGAGACAGTGTCAACAGTCACCTCCAGTCTGTCTCTCTAAAATCTTCAAATTAGACTAGAAATCTAGGGGTAATATTGGACTCAGACCTGAACTTTAACAGCCACATCAAATCAATAACATCTGCAGCCTTTTACCATCTAAAAAGCACAGCAAAAATCTAAAGCTAACTTGGAGAGACTTATCCAGTAGGTTAGACTACTGTAACAGCCTGCTCACTGGCCTTTCCAAACGAGCTGTGAGACACTGCAGTACATCCAGAACACTGCAGCTCGAGTCCTGACTCGAACCAAGAAGTCCAAGCACATAAGTCCTGTGCTCAGGTCTCTGCACTGGCCCCTGTGGCTCAGAGAACAGACTTTAAAGCAGCTCTGCTTGTGCACAAGTCTCTCCATGACCTAGCACCAAAGTACATCTGTGACATGTTTGTGCCATATGAACCATCTCACACTCTGCGGACCTCAGGGACCGGCCTCCTGCTGTAGTCCTGATGTAGCCCTGGATTAGTTCTGGGTTAGTTGCGGCCTCCTGCTGGTGCCCAGAGTCAAGAAGAGTCAGCTTTTCAGATTCATGCAGCTAAAACCTAGAAAAGTCTTCCTGAAGATGTGAGACAGGGCTCTACTTTGACTATGTTTAAATCCATCCTCAAAACAGTTTAGCTGTACATGTGAAAGGTTTTCATTTTGCAATCTTCTCTCTCATTGAATGCCTCTTTTTTAATTTTGTGATGATTATTTCTGTTTTGATTTCTTTGTATTGTGATTTTAATGTATTCCTTATTCTGTAAAGTACTTTTAATTACTTTGTGTACGAATTGCACTATACAAATAAACCTTGCCCTGCCTTGCCTTGCCTAGTAAAATAAAAACAAAGTATTTAAATACAACCAAATATTGATTTCAAATGTAGAATTTAATTTGAAACTCTGGAGTATATTTTGCTGAGGGTTAAGACTATTTTTCAAAAAAATTTGAATTTAAAGTGACAGCTTTCCTTACAGCTTATGAAACAGAAAATGGCACGTGTCAGGAGATGGCTATCAGACTTTGACTATTTGTGTTTCCAAAGAGATATTCTACTATTACTTAGTTTCATTTAGTCTGTATCAGTATAACAGTGATTATGCTGCATGTGTAATGAATACAGCAAACATTGAATTCAACAAACAGAAATGTGCGATCAGACTGGAATGGGACCAGCCTAAGGAGCAGATTTAGGGTTGACTCACTTGCGCACAGCTTCCTGCTTTTGTGCGTCAGTAGTTTCCCACCACTTTGCAAAAAACGAGATTTCTGACCAGATGAACTTCCTTCTGGGATCCTCTGCCAGCTTCACGGCCATGTTGTTTAAAATGTGCTGGGTTTGGTCTGTGAAGTACTTGTCAAATGTTTTCACCCACCCTGAGAAAATGCACAGAAAAATAAGTTGTATGTTTGAGTTTGTGCAAATCATGCTTTTGAAAGGTGCATTGTGTAACTTTTCAAATGCTTTTCTACAAGGAAATGTTATTGCTTTGTCTGGAATGTTTCACAGTATGATATTAAACCTTTCAATATTCATGGAGACCAAACTAGACCAAGTTACAAGTCAGTTCTGTGGAAAGGTGACCCCGCTCATAGTCATAATGCCTGATTTTCTAGGTATTTTTGTGCTATAAAACCACCTGTAATTGACTAAATGTAAAGTAGAGCTGTTTAATGTCATGGAACATTTCAGGCAGAACAATGACACATCCATAAAAAGAAGCAGGTGATGGACACTTCACCAGAAAAGTTACACAGTGCACCTTTAAACACGTGGCTCATAAAAAATGCAGAGACAGTAGTAACCTGGTAAAACAAAATGCTACAAAAATAACACAATATTTTATTTATAGTCTGTGCAGAAAGCTATTAGATGAAGTAGGTTAGGTCTGGGTGAGACTCAGGGCATGCAGCTGTGAAAACACTATCTGTATTTGTGGCGAGGTAAAACACGCTCAGATTGCTTTGATATGCATGATTAAAAAGTCTATACATGAAAAGAGCCAATGAGCGAAGTACAGAAATTATACAGCAAAAGAGCAGCAAATGACACCACTAAAGCTGCCAATGAGCCACTTTCACTCTTGGGAAAATATCTGATTGCGATTTGTCTGACAAGCATTTTTGAGTAGATCTGAGATTTACCTTCTGAGTACAATTCCGTTGAGTGTGCACTTTTTCAACATGTCCAGCAGCATTATCGTTTGAGCCTTGATAACTTGAATTATAAGTACGAAACTAACACTGCACAATCCTGTGCATTTCAGAACTACAACATAAGCAGTTTTACATATAAGACAGGAAGTTTAGATGCTTGCAGAATATCCTTTGAATTATTTGCAGTGTTTGCTATTTGCTTACAGTCCATTCAAACTACTATAACTCACAATACGTCACTGCACAGTATTCTGGTGTTAACATCTGTCTTTATGTTCATTTATAAAAACAGTGTAACAAATATAGACTGTGTGTATAAATGGACATAGCAAACCCGCTAGCTGCCACGTTCCAAATTTGAAGTGGGGGTGCTTCCAATCGCATCCATCGACTCCCACATTGAAAAATGCCACCTCTCTCTGTAACTGCTGCAGTGAGTCTCGTCATTTTAGTCTTAGATGTTCATATTAATCTGATTTACATGATCCTGGTGTTTTTAGTTCACCATTTTGTCCATAAATCAATTCCTAATATGGAACTGGCTCCAAATTCGCTTCTGTAAATGTTAGCCTCGTGAGTTTCATTTGACTGGAGCCAAACGCTGTGGGTGCAACTCCCTGTGTCCAATTCTTCATACAGTCTATGGCAGGAGAGGGCAATTATTTTTTTCCATTGGGGCCACATGAGAATCAGAAAATATTGTGGAGGGCTGGGCCAAAATGCTTAATTCAATTCTGCATAATATTAATTGTATTTTTTTATCAAAGGCAGTACATATCATTTGACATTTGACAAGCTGGTAAGACTGGTTAGAGTTTATGTTATGACTAAGCAATGAAAACATGAGGTTGCCTTACAAACAATGTCATTAAAAAAACACCTCTAAAGTAAAAGCAATGCAGCTTTAGTCCATGCATGAGGAAAAATGATAAAATATGTATGTTTTGTAATTCCAAATGAGCTCAAACAGGTTGGTCAGAGACAACCAAAGGGTCGTATGTGGCCCAGGAGCTGTACAATGCCAAGATCTGGTCTATGGTAACAATCCACCTTATTCTGGAAGTTTTCGTGCACACTGCCATCATTCGTGCTGTAATATTTTGTATGGGGCTGCCGATCTTGACAGCAAATAAGTAAATAAAGCCGTATTAAAGCCCCCTTAGAGAATCGGTGCAGTGTTGATTTGTTGGTGCACATGAACACTAAACATTTTACACAAATAAACTGCCTTTATGTCAGATTTAAGATGCAACCTTTCCCAAATTCCCATTTAACCAGAAGTGTCACCATAAGAAAGCACAGTTTAGGAGCATTTAGGTACAAAAGTGGGCGGGGGCAAATAAGGTGAATATAAAATTACTCCGAAATTAACACTACACCAACATATTCATCACCCTCAGTGCCACAAGAAATCAGTTATTGCTTGATTTTGTGAGTCTTATTTATAAATGCATCATAAATGTCATCTTAACTCACCTGGGTCATTATGGGAGTGAGGGATGACAAAAACCTGCAGTGGCTCATTGTCCCATTCGTCAGGTTCATAGGTTATGTCAAAGCCTTGTTTCCAAACACCCCCATCAGGATTGTCAAACTTTAACAGTGAGTACACATCCAGCATCTAAAACAAGCAAGAGACTTCCAGTTAAAGAGGATGACAAACATACTAGCACTAGACCTGTCACGATAATAAATGCTCAAGTGTAACATATTGCTGAAGTATACAGAAGATTACACTGAAACTAATTTAGGCTACAAATGTGATAAACTTAAAGCACAAAAAAGAAAAAATGTAAACATACAATATCATTAAAAGGGAGTCTGCCTGATGATATTAAATCATGGCCTCAAATTACAATTTTGTTCCCACAGTAAGTAATTCTTTCCCACGTTTTAGTTAATTTGTTCCCAAGTTTTAGCCAATCCCCCAGTGTGTTTCTTTTCTTGTTCTGGTGTTTGTGGCTCCCTGCCCTGATGTGGCTCTAAATGAACGAGAATTTCACCCACACTCAGAATTTACAAACGGTTTATCCTCAGCACATTACAACGCATCCATGCATCTCTATTGTGTTTGTGTATGGTCGGACTAATGGGCTTTCGGACCAGTGGTATGACCCCATAGTGATGTTAGTGATGTATACGAATTGGCTAAAATGTAGGAATGAATTAACTAAAACGTGGGAATGAAATAGTAATTTGAGGCCACGATTTAAAATCCTTTTTTCACGTACGTCATTAGACAGGATCCCTAAATTAAACACATGAGCTATAATGAATAAATAGCAGAATGAAAGCACTTTTGTAGTTAGTTTGCACCTAAAATGCGTTATAGAAGCTCAAATCTCATAGCTACTCAAATCTCATAGCTACTCAAATCTCATAGCTACTCAAATCTCATAGCTACTCAAATCTCATAGCTACTCAAATCTCGGTCAAAATAACACAAATTTCTTGCATGTGGAGAGAGGAGAGGGGTGTGGGAGGGTTTTGTTATTATATTTATTTTAATGTTGAACAGAAAAAAGACACTAACTAATTTCAAAAACACACACATTTCCCCAGAAGAAAAAAGTGTCCATGATAAATATTGAGCTTAAAAATGTTCTATCTATTATATATTGAACAATAATACAGTACTAAACTTTTCTGCTTGTTTCCATGGTAATGTTATTGCTTTGCTTGGAATGTGAATATGGCAATACACAAATATATCTTAATAATTACGGGTGTTTTTATTTCTCAAAACTTACCATACATTACCATAAGAAGGCCGGTAACTTGGCCAGGTGATGTGACCTGCTTGTCTCCGTGGAGAAAGTTAAATTAAATGCCATATTGTAGAAGATTTCAGGAAAAAACATCTAAATCTTCATAGAGTCAAGCAGGTGGCGGACCCCAAAAAAGTTCTGCAATGCACCTCTAAGCAGCAAACGCACCTGCACATCCGGATGGACCCGATGTTGGCCGGCAAACTGGCAGTCCTGGGGCTTGATGGCGAGAAATGTGGGTCGACCGTCAAAGGGGAGAACCCAGGAACCATTGGCGCTTCTGAAAGGCAAGTGGCCGCTGGGGGAAACCGCCCCCGTGTCTGTCAGCTCCATCACAGAATCTTTTATGTGACTTATGATTTGATGGTTTTCTTCAAGCAGCTGTTCTAACTGCTCTATCCTGTTCTGTAGAACTGAGATTTGACTCTACAACAAGATCACAGATATCAGAGTTAGAGAGCCACTAGAGGCACTTCATCATAATACAGATAAATGGAAACGCAGAATAGCACAAAACTGTAGAGATGCATTCTAACTTTAAAGGGCCAATAATACGCTACTTTCTGACCGTTTCCTTATCAAAAACATACCTGGAATTCTGTTTTGCTTCATTCACACATGTTTAACACACAAACCCTGCAAATTTAGGCTGAGTTCTTCTCTCAAATCAGAAAACACTCTGTTTCACCTTGAGATATCGTGTAACAAAAAAGTGCTCCATTGTGTTATTAAACTCCTTTCACCTTCACTAGAATAAGCTGGATAATTTCAGCCCTGGAATTGCCAATCTCTTCTGAACAAAAGGTAAAAGGTAGTTGTTAACTTGAAAACTACAGTTTCATAACATCACAACGGGGAACAGAGCATTTTGAGCTTTAGAGATGTAGACAGACTAATAATAAAAGGGTTACTCAAACATGTGTGAAGGAAACAAAACACAATTCAAGGTCTGTTTTTGAGAAGGTAACAACATTCCAAAATGGCTTAAAACTCACAATAGTCAATTTTGTGTAATTTACAACCTTTAAATAAAAAAATGAAAGGGATAAGTGAAGGTAACATTAGATATTCAATATGCCACCAACAATTACTCTTACCCTTGGAAAGTTCCCACCGCTCTGTCTCCTTGCAGGGTCATGCTGGACTCGATCCAACATCAGATATAGTGAGAAAACAGCCACACAGAAAATGGCCCCTCCACACACTGTTACCTGCTTCCTCAGCTTCATTATTCAGTCGTCTCAGAGGTTTTTTTTGTTTTTAAATCAGTGTCCTTTTTACGAATAAACAAACAACAAATGTCCTTGAAAATGAAAAAGAATGCAGTCCAATCTGGTCAGAATGTTGAAACAGAAACCACGCGTGCCACAGTTCTACAGCAAGGCAGTCTCCAGGTTGTGCTCATCATCCCGGGCATTGCATTGACGGAGCTGTGGCGCTGATAAACAGTCCACCATGCCACTAAATCACCAATGGCTGGCAAGCATTTACTCAGCTTTGGCAAGACCACAGCCACTGGTGGACTCCCTCAAAGTAGCCCTTGTGCACAACCATGCAAACAGAAAAAAAGGAAAAATCCAGGAAAAGAAAAAAACACAAGCAACACACTGAAGGGGGTTTAAACAGCAAGCCTAGTGTCCCTCCATCAAGATGTGGGTCCCTGGAGATCTGTTTCTGGATCTTCTTTACGCATTCATAGTAGCGTCTTGAATTCAACGCCCATGTGACAGTTCAAAGGTGTCACAGTGAGATAAAAAGAAGTAACCTTAGTCCTGAAACAGCTTCATGAACTAAAAAAAATAAATAAAAATCAGTGGTCCGATAACATCACAGCCAGTCCATCTGTTTTGGTCACATGTTTGGGAGTCTTTCAGCTGTGAAAAGAGAAGAGGGTTAGTGGAAAAACAGGTATGTTTCACATTGACTATGGCAGGACATCTTAAAACGGTTGTTAGAGGATTTCAATCAGAGGTAATAGGAATTTGCTCACAAATCCCACCGTATTGTAATCCGCTCATCAGAAGCACTTCAAATGCTTTAGCTTCTCCACAACAACACTGGTAGCAGCTTGAACACACAGACAACTATCCAAAACACAAAACATGTATGCATATATTTATAATTTACCTGTATTTCCTGTTTAAACCCCAACTATTTAACACTGAGTATGTTTTTTGTTGATATTTAGCTTCTCCACAACAACCCTGGCAGCAGTTTGTGCACACACACAACTATCCAAAGACAAAAACATTTCTAATTCACCTATATTTCCTGTTTATACCTCAACTATTTAACACCGAGTACGTTTTTGTTGATAAATAACTAATATAAAGCCCACTGCTAGCCCAAGTGATAGTGAAACCTTCAGAGTAAACAAACTTATTAGCAAAATGCGTTGAGTTAAAGCTCTGAAATGCTTTAACACAACGCAGTTCACCTTTAATAGTGATAGACTTTAACCTGATTCAATATTTGCATCAGAAAAGATAAAGAAGCTGGGGCTAAATGAGCTAACGAGCTAACTACTAAAATAATGACATTCCTGTATTCAATGCTTAAATCAAGAGCGGATAAACATGTGACTGAAGAGATCGTGTGCACAGATATGTCTTTTATAAACAAGGCAAGAGATTTAAATCAATATTCAATCAGTATTTATTATTTAATCACACGGGTGTTGTTAAATATCATAAAGACAAAACGCGATAACAGATGACACTTCCTGGTTAAGCGTTCAAATGCAATGTAGTCCTGCTAAATCCCTGGCTAAACCCGTGTAAATGTAAACATGGATGAAAACATGCGTCCAAAATCACTCACCCAAACAAGCTTCAGAAGAGAGGAGCAGTAGCAGCGGCAGTAGGGGCAGCTCGGGGGTAGGTGTGCGTTTAGCTGTGTGCAGGCAGATTAAAGTGTGAGTGAGTTAGCACCGGACTAGCTCCAGCTCCAGCGCCGAGGCTCAGACGGCGGAGGGAGGGCTGCTGCAAAGGCTCATGGGAAGAAAGAGCAAAGCTGCGCATCAGTTTATGATTGGCCAGTGCGTTTAAAGGGCTTAGATAATACGGAAAATTGACTCTTGTGAGCTGTAAGCAGTGTTGGGAATGCTATTTGCAAAACACATGGCAACAATGGCTATTTGCCCTATTTACACCCAGATGTATTTAAGGTGGCACATAGAAGGGGCACCGGGTGTTCCTAGACAAAAATGCTGTTTACACCCAGGTTATTTATTTAAAAAAAATATTTTAAAAAAACTCACTGTCAGTACAAACATAAAGGTATAAAGGTTTAGATTTGGTTTTAGTTCTGTTTTAGTCCTGTTTTAGTCCTGTTTTAGTCCTGGTTTTAGTCATGGTTTTAGTCCTGTTTTAGTCCTGTTTTAGTCCTGTTTTAGACTTGGTTTTAGTCCTGATTTTAGTCCTGGTTTAGAATTGGTTTTAGTCCTGGTTTTAGTCTTGGTTTAGTTCTGATTTAGTCCTGGTTTCAGTCCTGGTTTTAGTTCTGGTTTTAGTCCTGGTTTTAGTCCTGATTTAGTCTTGGTTTTAGTCCTGGTTTTAGTTCTGGTTTAGTCCTGGTCTTAGTTCTGGTTTAGTTCTGGTTTAGTCCTGGTTTTAGTCTTGGTTTTAGTTCTGGTTTAAAATATATTCCCCTACAGATTACAGATTACATACCCCAAAATGTAGTTTGTAACGAAATCCATTAAGTTACTTTAGGTGAGTAATGTAATCTGAATACTTTGGATTACTTGATCTTGTCATGCTTTTTAAAACTACATGAACGTAGCAACCACACCCTGAAAATTCATGTTTGTTCTCTTCAAACTGGTTGAGCCCAAGTCTCCATGAACAGGATTTTTTTACTGTAGAGAAGCAAAGACTAGGATCTTATCATGAGATCTTTTGTTTGCTAAAAGACAATTAAAAGCCCAGTCTTTCCTTAACCGTATTAAAAATATTATTGATAGAGAAATGCTTTCTATATGAGATCACTGCTGCTTTAAATTATGTCCACCCTACTAGGTGCCATATTGTTTTTTTTTATAAAAAAAAAAAAAAATTACTTTCAGTACAAGTAAAAATCAGTCATGTTTGAGGTTTTTTACTCAAAATGATGCAGAATCAGATTAATAGCAAAGACGATTATTAATGACCTCGTTCATTGTGTGACTGACGCCACCAACATTAACAAGACATAGTATGATTTTTTAATAATAAATAGTAAAATAATGTAATAATACTGTTTTGTGATATATACAGTGGATGATTATGAAGACATCACAAGTTGTTTGAAAAAAATCAGTGATATGTATTACAAGTAAAAATTTTTTGAATGTGTCGAATATCCAATATCAAACCAATTCAACTGCTGTCAGGAATGAGAGGCATAAATTGACATCTGTTTAGGTAAAATATACAAAAGATGCTTAAAAATGACCAAAACACAGAGAAAATATGACCAGGGATGAGCAATCATTTTTTTCCATGATGCCACATGAGGGGGGGGGGGGGGGGGTATTTGTGCAAGCCTCCAGCTGATTGGTGGAAGCCGTAACACCTGGCCAATCCTGGGCCTACACCTGGAGCACCAGCCCCTGCCACTAATGGCAGCTGTTCTGACTGTGGACTGCCTGTCACCTTTGTAGTGTCTCTTGTGGTGTACTGTTAACTTGTTTGAGACACTATTAGTCCTTGTGACTAAGACTGGTTTTGTTTTTCTGTTATCATTTTGTATATTTTGTTTTTATTAGCCTTTCCTACTCTGTTTAGAGCCTCCTTTTGTTAATTATTGTAAATATTCCCCTTTTTCTTAGCTTTACCTTAGCAATTCTTTTAAATAAATCACAATTTTATTTTTACCACTTTACCATCTTGGTTCTTCTGCATAATATGAATTGTATTTCTTTTAAAAAAAAAAAAAAAAGCAGTAAATGGCATTGTTTTTGACAAGCTGGTATGACTAAGCAATGAAAAAGTGAGGTTGGCTTTTAAAAAAAAATTAAAAGCAATGCAGTTTTAGTCCATGCATGCGAAAAAATTATAAAATATGTTTAGTTTGTACATTCCAAATGAGCTTACATGGGCTGGTCAGAGTTAACCAAAAGGACTTAAGTGGCTTGGGAGCTGTACAATGCCCAGGTCTGGACTATAAGTAAGTAAATAAGTTCTTTATTTATATAGCGCTTTTCACAAACATACGTCACAAAGGCGCTTTACAGAGCATTATTCATTCACGCTGTACTCTGTGGTGGTAAGCAAATATTGTTGCCACAGCTGAGGCAGACTGATAAAGGCGCGGCCGCCAATCAGCACCATTGGTCTCTCTGACCACCACCATCACTCACACTCACACCACTTTCATACGCAGCAATGAGGGTGAAGTGCCTTGCCTAAAGACATAACAGTTTTTGCAACTGGCACCCTACTCAACTGACTCACATGTTAGTCATGAATGGACCGAGTGCAAATCAGTTTTTCTAAATTACGCACCCATTTCACAATTTTCTTATTTCCAGCTGCCCCAAACCAGAGTGAAGCTGTTGTTTCCTCATCAAAAATATACCTGGGGTTGTGTTTTGTTATTAAAAGGCTTATATTACACAAAATTGACTCTTGTGAGCTTTAAGACATGTTATAATGTCGTTTCCTCATCAAAAACATACCTGGAGTTGTGTTTTCTTTCATTCACACATATTAAACCTGCATATTTGGGCAGAGTTTTCCACTCAAACTGAAAACACTTGTGAGGCATCTTGTGATGTCATGAGGTATCATGTGGTGTTCTAAAAAGTGTTTTAAACTCCATACACATTCACTAGAATAATTTGGATAATTTCAGCCCTGGAATTTAATCTATACTGCATAAAAGGTAAAATGTAGGTATTAACTTGAAAACTACGGCTTCATGACATCACAAGGTGGAATAGAGCATTTTGAGCTTTGAACAATGTATTAACACCACTTTTTTTATTATTATTATTCAGGACAATAGAATATAACGTTAAAAAATACAACAATCAACATTTAACAATTACAATAATCAGCATAATCAGCATAACACCCACAACAAATACAAAACAACAACAACAACAACAAAAAGCCCCCATTTTCCCCCCGACCACACACACTAACACAAATCTGGCCTAATTAAACAAAAGTAATATGGTAGTGCAACATAAACACACCTGCTAGGCCACCCTACATTGACACACTGGGGCCTCTCTTCTTTTTTTTTTCCTTTTCCTTTTTCCCTCTCCCATTTTTAAATAAAAAAAAAGAAAGAATTTTTTTTCCCCCTATTTAAACTAATAGTATTTTCACCATAATCATTTTCTCTCATCATTTTTGTAATTTATTACAAACTCAAATCATGATGTTAAAGGCATTTTTTTCATCTTTCTTCTTAACACCACTTTTTAAACAAACATTGTAAATTGTAATCTGTTTTTACTGACATATTAAATGCATGTATGTTGAAATATTTCGGAGTAAAATTAGAGAAGTTTAGACCTAGATAGTTAATTAATATTTGTATATATGGGATTGTATTTGACCTTTTGTAGAAAAAGGGTTAGTTAGTGAGCTATTTGTTTCTTTGTCCTACTTCTACACCTTATTTACCGCAGCTGAGCTTTCAGTACCATTGTCATTCTTGAAGCGATACTACAACAACAGAGCACTGGTCACAAGCTGTATTGGTCAGACAGGTGAGACAGGTGCAATGGTCAGACAGGTGCACTTATCATACAGCCTCATGTATCACGTCTCCTTGAACACAGCCCTGCATTATTTTATCAACACTTAGTTCAGGAATACGGTAAACATTTTGTCCATGAGAGTAAAAATTCCCCAAATAAAACAAGGACTCATTTTTTATTTATTTTTTTTAAATATATATAGTCTTGTTTAGATTATATTATAAGATATTGTACTCATATTTAATTACACATTACAATTCCCCCATTTGTCCTCATCTAAAACAAGAATTCATATAGATTTTATTCAGATCTTACATTAGAAAGCCAACATTCATGTTTAATTCCACTGTCTCACTTTTTAATAAACTGTTTTAATTCACCTTTATCTTGACTTAAATTTGTAGAGAGGCATCACACTTTAATTCTTAATATTTAGTCTATGTGACAACGAGGATATGATTAACTTTTCTTTTGTATTTTGAGTTCTGGCCAATAGAAAATGTGCAGCACAACTCAAGACAAGACAAGAAAGTACAAGATGGAATAACTGAGCTAGCCATATTTAGAAACAGTGCCATTATATTTCCAGAGATTGCATGTCAAAATTTTAAGTTTTATTGTCTTAGATTCCATTCCATTTTTAATCAGAATGATTTCATGATGTTTCAGTGTACACAAATTAATGAGGAGTATACTTGTATTATTTTTACTAGCACCCACTGCACCTTTCACTTGCTTTCTGCATAACTCAGTAAGGTTTTTGTAGGTCTTGGTCTTCCCTTTGCAGCCAGAATGTAGACATACGTTACCCTTATGTCTCCAAGCTGCAACATAATATATGCAGGCATTCTTCTTAAACCAGACCACCAAAGTAAGTGAGAGGTTGACCAGGTGTTCATGGAGCTGTTCCCAGGGAGACTGTGATAACCTCAGCTGTAATTCAGTAGTCCCGTGGGAGTGGGACAGAAGAATAGATAAGACCTTAAAAAGAGAACACTCATTATATGCAATTTAGAAGTGTGGTCTGTTTAAAAAGCTTTCTGTGCTTTCTATTTCAGGGTAATTTGAAGAAAACTGTGATGTAGCTCCGGTAAAATGTGCTTGCACTGGCCAAAAAATAACCAAATTAAGTTGTAAACGTGGGAGAAGCAGGCTGCGTCCTCTCTTCCTTATATGGGCATGCTGCGTGCTCCAGGGGGCGGGGTTAACACGTGTACGTCAACACGCTGCCTCCGAACCCGGAAGTGTATCAAAAAATGTAATGTGTTTT